CTCTAACTTAAATTTTTATAAAATAGTCGTTTTAGATCTAGATCTAGATTTCTGATTCACATAGCAACATGAATCACTTTTTTAGCACTTAAATTTAGCACTTGAACAACTCAAGATACGAAAATCAGGCATGTAATAGCATTAAATCTAGATCTCTCATTTCTACTCTAATTTTTCTTGATCAACTCATTTCTATTCCATTTTTTCTTGATCAACTCATTTATACTCTAATTTGAACAACTCGTCATATAATAGCATTAAATATAGTTCTCTCATTTTTACTCTAATTTGAACAACTCGGCACTTAAATCACTTTTTAAGCACTTGAACAACTCAATATACAAAAATCAAGCATATAATAGCATTAAATCTATATCTCTCATTTCTACTTCAATTTTTCTTGATTTTATAATTTATAAAAACTTTCTAAATCATAACTAAACCATAGGAGGGGTTTTTTTTCTTATAGATATACCTTCTTCGGGAGTTGAAAATGAAAAAGGAAAGCGACAAGGGCTTTGGTCGGGTGTGCGCGGCTTTAGCTCGGGTGTGCGACTGCTAGTGGCGTGCGGAAGCTGCTGGAGGCTACAGATCTGGATCGGCTAGGAGCTTGCAACGCGTGGGAGCTGCTCGAACAAAGGCATGCGGCGACTGGACTCGGGTCGTGCGGATCTGGGAGCTGCGGCACGAGCTGGAGCTGTTGGACACTCCGGTGAAAGGCGCGTGCGGGAGCTGCTGCGGCTCGAGGCTCAGCTGCGCGTGCAGGCTCGGAGGCTATGGCTCGGGTGTGTTCGCCGGGAGATGCTCGGGACTATAAGGTTTGGGCCGGATTTTGTGTGTCTAAGGCTGGGAAATTTTCTAAGGCTAGGACATTTTTGGACTTAGGAAATATTGCTTGAGTGTGTGGAGGAGGAGAAATGAAGACTAAATGTGAGGGTGCTCTCCTATATAATGCTAGGGTTAGGGGACAAGGGTGGAGAGAAAATTTGGAAATTTTCTCCCTTTGACTAGTCTTTGTCCCGTAGAGTAAAAATTTGGTAGGTGAACATTAAATGCAAATTCAAACTTGAGTCTCGAAGACCAAGTTTAAAACCCTAAAGTACAATGCCTTGGGTCAATTGGGCTAGAGTGGGATTGGGATTTATTTGCATTTGGTGTTGGCCGGGTGGGCCTTGGCATATTGGACTCGGCCATTGGGCCGACGACTATAGGCGTGCTGGCCCGATCTTGGGCCACAGGAATGGCGCATGGTCGCGCTTATGCGTGAGTTGGGCACGTACTAATGACATGCCGGGCTGCCTTGCTAGACCATGGCACTCAGGCCGAGTGGCTTGTCTTGGGCCGAGGTCTCGTATAACGCCTCATTTTATTTTAATTGATCATATTGCATTTGCTCGACTATAGAATTGGTATCTTGGTTTTATTTGCCTTATTTTATGTAATTGCCTATTTGAGTATTTACTTGCCTAAGTGAATTTCTTATTTATGTGTAATTGTTAAATGTTATGCCTAAGAATAATTTTTGCTAATTGTTGTATATTTGTGTGCCTTATATGTATTGAGTGATGCCGTAATATTATTCATTTCCTTGCCTTAGTATAAATTTGTTGAATATATATATATATATATATATATATATATATATATATATATATATATATATATATATATATATATATATATATATATATATATATATATATATATATATATATATATATATATATATATATATATATATATATATATATATATATATATATATATATATATATATATATATATATATATATATATATATATATATATATATATATATATATATATATATATATATATATATATATATATATATATATATATATATATATATATATATATATATATATATATATATATATATATATATATATATATATATATATATATATATATATATATATATATATATATATATATATATATATATATATATATATATATATATATATATATATATATATATATATATATATATATATATATATATATATATATATATATATATATATATATATATATAATTGCGATTGTGCCTTAAAATTTTTCATCCTTATGTTATGCTTTTCATTCGGCCCTTAGCTCATTTTTTTGTGAGAAAATCAAAAGCACACCTAGTAATTCCATGCACGCCCAAATCCTTTTCATGCATGACCATGTCTTTTAATCCTCCAACCAACTCCAAGATTTTAGCATCCACTTAAGGCAGCCCTAAACCCTTCAAATCTCCTCAGCCGCCCCTCAACCTAATGACTTAGCCTTCAACAAGACCCCACCAAAAGAGGAGCACACCCCATGATTCCTTTCAAACTTTGAATCAGTTTGTTGCCACTTTTAAAAGTCCCAACCTCCAGCAAAAACCCTTTCATTTTCTCCACTTCCAAGTTTCAGGAAAATTCAGAGGAAATTTAGAAAAAAAAAAAAATGTTCCCCAGCCCTTTCACTCAAAACAACCGCAAGTCGTCGGCCATCTCCCCTACCGTACGCCATTCACCGAACGACGCAAGCTCCGACCGGCAAGAGAAAATGTGCAGCAGCAAACCACCCTCTCACCACCTTCCTACAACAGCTAGTGAGTCTTAGACCAACCAACAAGGACCAAGCACCTCAGTCCATAAAATCGAGGCCTTCACCATAGCCGAAAGCTCCAAAAGTCGAGTCTTTTGCATTGTTTTTCTTTGAACCGATAAGAGATTAACGAGGAGTTGAGCCCTCATCAAATGCATTAATTCATTATCAGTATCACTAAGCAATCCAGGTGGGGATTTCCATGCTATGTTCTAATTCTTAATAAGTGCAAGGTATTTTATAGTTGAGGTATGTTATGAGTATATTTGTGCGAGCGAGGGCAATTTCTGAGCATGAGCACCTGTTACAACAGATATTTACCCACGATATATCTATTAAAATCTTGAATAACTTATTGTGATCGATGCCTCTTTATCTCTATTTCTGTGGATATGTTTCCCTTGTTGTGTTGTGATGTTATTGTTGTTATTCGTTGTTGTTGAAAACACGAGATAGTCTTCCGTGTCGTGCGGTTTAGCGTCCCTGGTCGATAGACTAACAGATGAGATTAGTTTATGAGATAGTCTTCCGTGTTGTGCGGGTTAGTGTCCCCAGCCGGTAGACCAAGAGATGAGACCAGTTTATGAGATAGACTTCTGTGTCGTGCGGGTTAGCGTCCGCGGCCGGTAGACTAACGATGAGACTAGTTTATTCATTTATATGTCGATGTTATTAATACATGTTACTATCATGACTAATTGCATAGTATAAATTAGAGGTGAGCACGTTGATTTTGCTCACCCCCTCCCCCCCCCCAATAGTTATCATTTTCAGGTTAATAGCCGGAACGGGACTCGAGGGGTGAATGGATGGTCATATGTCATTATGCTGCTGTTTATGCTTCTCCTATGAATAGTTTGCTTTCCCGAAACATGTCATGTTATTTAAGATGATTGGATTTACAGTTCAATTTTCAATCCATTTATTTGTCTAGTATCGATCGCTCTGTTATGTCTTAATGAATTGACCAGTTAAAATGTTCGGGATCAGATATCATGAAAGGTAAAGATCAGAAAAAGTTTAGTACTCCCTCTGTTTTAAATTACTTGTTGTTCTAGCTTAAAAGAACAAAATTACGTATTTGAAGGAATTAGTTACTTTATCATTCTATTGGATTTTTCTAAATCTTCTAAATCTTATTTAAATACCTTTTTAATTTTTCTCTCTCCTTATCAATTTTATAGTTATCGATATAAATTATATCAGTAGTACTTTCATATTGTTGTTGGAATGAAGTGAGAGAGTTTATTAGATAAAGATACATAGCATTACAAAAAATACAACAACCATGAACTGAACCTACATAATTTTAGATTTGAGATATTTATCAAACTAATTAGTTCATGGTTATCCAAAACGACAATTAGTAAGCAAAAAGAAATGTACTCTCAAACGACAACCAATAGAAAACGGAGGGAGTAAGTTTTAGTAAGTACCCTCAAAGCAGATTTAAAATGTTTAATCATTTTTAAAAGATTTCGGAATTATTTCCAAACTCTGATGTTTGCAAATTATAAATAGAGGATGCTTACAACTTGGTACTAGAGTGCAGTACGCGTTTCTGAATACCTTAGAAAGAATATTATCACTCGCCATCTCTGAGCCGCAGCGGAACCTAGGTATGAGCCAGTAAATCAGTAGTATCACATGCATGTTTATTTGGGGCTTAGAACTTATCCTCCTTAAATATTTGAGAACTCTAGTTATGTTCAAACTTATGATTTCAGCTTTAAATTATCCCAAATCCTTCTAGTGCATTGTGTTCAGAAAATGCCTCCAAGACGTGAAGTCCAGCCGCCCCAGGAGCAGAACCATGCTCAGATAGTTGCTCAGTTCTGCAAGATGACACCCCCGGTCTTCACAGGAGAGGAGGACCACTGGCTGTAGGCGAATGGTTCCTCAAAATGGAGCGAATCTTCTGAATGATGGCTTGCACAGCCCGCAGAAGGTGGTCTGCAGTGAGTACCACCTCGAGGGTAGAGCTGGCCAATGGTGAGAGGATTACTGGCGTCTAAGGCTAGTAATTGAGCGAGATGCATTGACCTGGGAGCTACTGAAGGATATTGTTTCTGAGTAGTTCTATCCGAGACATTTTTGAGATCAGATGGATAGGGAATTTCTGAACTTGAGCCAGGGCCCCCGCACTGTAGAGGAATAAGAGAGGGAATTCTCCCGTAAGAGCGCCTTCGCCTGACACTTAGTGGATACTGAAGAGAATAGGGCTAGCCATTTTCTGTATGGCCTTAGGCAAGATATCCTTCTACTGGTAGCCGGTCACGGCTATTTCACCTATGCAAAGACAGTGGAGAGACCCTAGCGGATCGAGATGTGCCAGCAGCTTGTGTCTTAGACGCTTTTTGTTCAGCCAGCTGTCGTAACCCAACCATCTGAAAATGGTGAAAAGAGAAGGTGGACAGATGACCACAAACAGAAAGGGAAGAAGCATAAGGGAAATAAAAGCCGGGACAACAGGCCACCACCTCAGGCGATTTAACCTTCCAGCAGGTACCAGCGATCGCCTACCATGCGGCACCTGCAGCAAGGGACACAAAGGAGAGTGTTTTGTAGGCAGGAACGTCTGCTATAGTTGCAGGAAACTCGGACATATGGCGAATCGCTGCCCAGAGCATGGACAGAATTGTTAGCAGCAGTAGAGATAGGGTGGCCCGGCATGTGTCTACATGCTAGCTCAGAATGAGGAAGGCCCAAATCAAGTTTGAACTGTGAAAGTGGGCACAGAGTAGTAGAAGCAGTTGTCTAATTCTGTTTTGCAAACTTTTGTTCCTCTTGTTTCTTCATTTGGAGTTCGGGTTGAATATTCATGTTTGGAACTTTGTGTTCCTCTTCTTCGATTATAAACCTCGTGCCTTAATTGTTCCTTTCTGCCTTTGTTCATTTTTGTTTGTGATATTTTTTTTTCCAAAAGTGTGTATTCTTTAAGTACCCAAGCCGAGAATTGGGACTTAACCTATCGGATAGGGATAGCCAGCGGGCTTTCAAAGTACCGATTACTCGTCGTGTACGTTGATGATATTTCAGTCTAAATCGGAACTGTGAAACCGTATGAGGAGCTTCTGAAGGCGGTGCTAGCGACACATAAGTAAGAGGAGTTCTACGCTAGTTCTTGCATCGATTGTAGTTTAAACTCGTCTTCGACTGTCGACACGATTAGCTACCAACCGAAGAAAGCTAACGTGGTGGCCGACGTTCTTAGTCGGAAAGGTCGAGGCAAGCTAGCCGCGTGTCTCAGTACAATCTACTAATTCAAGAAGTTTAACTGATTAGAAATCGAGGTAGTGAAATCATCGTCGATAGCCAGTGGTGGTTGACATCGCTAGACGTGGACCGACTCTCCGAAAGGATTGTGTCGAGTAGAAGAATAATAATTTCCTTTCCCTTGTGAGATTTTTTCTCGAGCCGGCAAGTTAGGAGTCTCGTAGTAATGTCGTGAAGGAGCCTTAGTGTTTTGGTGGAGACGGTCTTCTCTGGAGGTAAGCCGAACATCAGAGTGCGCAGTAAGAGCATGGTGAACGATAGTAATCTTGTTCTAGAACTAACCCAGTAGACACTCGAGGGGAAGGATGTACTCGACCCCGAGTACGAGAAAACTTTCGTTGTTTAGCACGTTGGGCTGAACCCGGTGGAGAAAAAGGTGCTTTTGACCATCTTGGCCGGAAAGGCGCATCAGATGAGGTGACCTTCACTGGTCATAAGAAGAGAATATGAGAGTGTAGCAGTTTTCTAGTGCATGAGAGTGACTACGCAGAGTATACCATGGCGACTTAAAATAAGAGTCACTAAGTCGAATTATCATGGCGGCTTGAAATAAGAGCAAAAAATTATCCAAAATTTATTATCATGGCAGCTTGAAATGAGAGCCACAAGACAGGGTAATTATCAAAATTTATTATCATGGCGGCTTGACATAAGAGCCACAAGGCCGGGTAATTATAAAGATTTATTATCATGGCGGCATTTAATAAGAGCCACAAGGCTAGGTAATTATCAAAATTTGTTATCATGGCATCTTGGAAAAAGAGCCACAAGGCCGGGTAATTACCAGAATTTATTATCATGGTGGCTTAAAATAAGAGCCACTGAGTCGGGCAACATTATGCAGTGAGACTAGATATTTATGTGCTTGTCTACTATGTTGTGTTGCTTTTATTGTTATTGTGTCTCTATTACTTTCGTTGTATTGTTACTGTTGATGTTATCCTGCGGGGGGAGGGGGTGGATAGGAAGTAGTACTCTGTCGGGACAGGCAGAACCCAGTTAGCCCGACAGAGTGTACAGATGAGACACAGGAGACCAGTTTATTTATTTATGTGCATGCTTATATTATGATATCTGTTATAATCTTTTATAACTTATTGTATTTGCTGTTGTTGTGTTGCTATTGTTGAGGTGTTGTTATTTTAGAAACGTTGAACCGAGAGATAGCTCTTGGCAGATCCAGTGGTGTCGCTTGAGTGAGAGCGATACTACTTCACGAAGGGAAGAACAATTTCGTTCGAAGTTCTTGAGCTTAGTTTTGAGATTAGTTTTAGATTTCAGAGGATGGAAATCGTCTAAGGAGGTTAGGATTGTAACGCCCCATTTTATTTTAATTGATCATATTGCATTTGCTCGACTATAGAATTGGTATCTCGGTTCTATTTTCCCTATTTGATTAAATTGCCTATTTGAGTATTTATTTGCCTAAGTGAATTTCTTATTTATGTGAATTTATGTGTAATTGTTAAATGTATGCCTTAGAATAATTTTTGCTAATTGATGTATATTTGTGTGCCTTATATGTATTGAGTGATGACTTAATATTATTCCTTTCCTTGCCTTAGTATAAATTTTGCTCTTGTTAAACACACACACACATATATATATATATATATATATATATGTGTGTGTGTGTGTGTGTGTGTGTGTGTGTGTGTGTGTGTGTGATTGTGCCTTCAAATTTTTCATCCTTATGTTATGCTTTTCATTCGGCCCTTAACTCATTTTTTTGTGAGAAAATCCGAAGCACACCTAGTAATTCCATGCACTCCCAAGTGCTTTTCATGCATGACCATGTCTTTTAATCCTCCAGCCAACTCCAAGATTTTAGCATCCACTCAAGGCAGCCCCAAACCCTTTAAATCTCCTCAGCTACCCCTCAACCTAATGACTTAGTCTTCAACAAGACCCCACCATAAGAGGAGCACACCCCCATGATTTCTTTCAAATTTTAAATCAGTTTGATGCCCTTTTTAAAAGCCCCAACCTCTAGCAGAAACCCTTTCATTTTCTCCCCTTTCAAGTTTCAGGAAAATTCAGAGGAAATTTAGAAAAAAAAAGTTCCCCAACCCTTTCAGTGAAAACAATAGCAAGTCGTCGGCAATCTACCCAAATGTACACCATTCACTGAACGCTTGCAAGCTCCGACCGACGGGAGAGAAAGTGCAGCAGCAAACCACCCTCTCACCACCTTCCTCCAGCAGCTAGTGAATCTTAGACCAACCAACAAGGCCCAAGCACCTCAGTCCATAAAACCGAGGCCTTCACCATAGCAAAAACCTCCAAAAGTTGAGTCTTTTGCCTTGTTTTTCTTCAAACCGAAGAGAGATTAACGAGGAGTCGAGCCCTTGTCATACGCATTCATTCAGTATCAGTATCATTAGGTAGTCTAGGTGGGGATTTCCATGCTATGTTCTAATTCTTAATAAGCGCAAGGAATTTTATAGCGAGGTATGTTATGAGTATATTTGCCCGAGCGAGGGCAATGTCTGAGCATGAGCACCTATTACGGCAGATATTTACCTACGAGATATCTGTTATAATCTTTAATAACTTATTGTGTTAGATGCCTCTGTATTTCTATTTCTGTGGTTATGTTTCCCTTGTTGTGTTGTGTTGTTATTGTTGTTATTCGTTGTTGCTGAAAACACGAGATAGTCTTCCGTTTCGTGCGGGTTAGCGTCCCTGGCACGTAGGCCAACAGATGAGATTAGTTTATGAGATAGTCTTTCGTGACATGCGGGTTAGTGTCCCCGACCGATAGACCAACAGATGCGACCAATTTATAAGATAGTCTTCTGTGTCGTGCGGGTCAGCATCCCCGGCCGGTAGACAAACAAATGAGACCAGTTTATTCATTTATATGCCGATGTTATTGTTACATGTTACTGTNAAGAAATCAAGTCGGTCATCAACAATTTTAAATTAAATAATGTGTGTATAATATATATAAATATTCCAGTTTTATTTTAATTATCGTGCGATCGAATCGAACAGTTAATATTGTTAAGTGAAGAACCGAGAGCCCCGAGCCGTATGTCGAACTCGGTCCGCGCGCCCTGCCCAAGAGAACCGGCACCTAGCCCTACCCGGTTTCTCTCTCTCTCTCTCTCTCTCTCTCTCTCCTTTGTTTGCTTGATAAGGAAGGTGGTGTACCCTAATATTATAAGTGATATGGGATATTATATAACTAAAGAATAGACCGGTCTACCACATCGGTCGGGCAAGCTCGAAGTAGAGAAAACCGCATTGGTCGAAGGATGATAGATCAAAAGGGAAAAGATCGAGCAGAATAGCAGAACTGGTCGAGGATCGACCTAGCGTTTCGGGGCTCGATCGGATCGAGCACTCAATAGGTGAAGAGTGATCGAGGGCGTGGCTTGAACGCGAGAAAGCGCATGGGTGGCGTTAGAAGATCCTAACGGAATGTACAGAGAATAATCTCCCTCTGCTCAGAGGGACACGTGGCGAGAGTACATTGGTGCAGAGCAATAGTGGTGATAACCACCTCTGACGCTTCTGACACACACAGACTGTGTGTGTACGGACGGGCAGTACGGGCATGACAGCTCACCAGATCTGGGCAGCTCCTAGGGTAGGTATCTCACTCCTATATATATATAGGAGTGGGTCTTTTTTTGGGACTTACGATTTATCTATTCTTTACTTTGGAAAATTGAACAAACACATACTAACTTAAGAATTGGAGGCTCTTCACTGGAAAACCCCTCCGGTGTGAGAGTTCTGTGCAGGTGCGCGGCGTTCTACCGACGAGGAAGAGGAAGGCAAACCGATTTCAGGCCGGTCGGAGTGTTTTGCGTTACCATTTGGCGCAGTCTGTGGGACTTTCGTTCGAAAAGTGGTGTGCTGAGATTGCTAAAGCTCGGCGGCTATGGCGGACGGAATTCCTAGGAGATATTTGCAAGCATCGTTTGACGATGCGTGGACAATGACGAGGCCGTTTGGAGAAGGCCCTCCCCTGGGCTTCTCTGGACCTTCGCGTACACCGATGACTCCGACGCCCGTTCCCCAAGATGTAGGAGTCACGCCGGTGCAACCAGAGGCTGACGTGGGCTCAAGCCGGCCCCAAGAGACCTGTACAACTCAAGGAGCGGCGATCCCAACACCGTTGCAACCAGATCTGGCCGTGATGCCGCAGCAAGGAGCGGTGGTGCAGGGAGCAGCAACGCCGCCGGTGGAAGAGTCGCGCCCCGGCCAGCAGGTGGTGATGACCAGGCAGGAGATGCAGCAGATGGTGGTGAACGCGGCAGCACAAGTGGTTCAGCAAGTCACCCAAAGCCTTTCGCGAGTGGCTGCTAGGCCAACGATGGTTGATGAGGATGTGTCTAGCTATGGAGGAGATGGAGCTCTGCGAGATCGGGAGGTGGAGAGACTCGCGGAGCAGGTAAGGTAGATGCAAGCTAAGATGGATGGTCGACCTGAAAGGCATGCTAGAGGACACCCGTTCTCGAGGGACATATTGGCTGCACCATTACCTGTGAATTTCAGAGACATGAGTTTAGTGTTCAATGGGACTACTGACCCGTCGAGGCACGTAAGGGCATTTGAGAACTTGGCTGTGTTACATGGTTATTCTGATTCTGTTAGCTGCAGGGCATTCTTATTGACCTTGAGAGGAGGCGCGCTCGATTGGTTCCAGTAGCTCCCTCATGGATCGATCAAGGACTTCGACAATTTCGCGGAGAAGCTGGTGACCCAATACGCGAGTGCTGTGGTGCAGGAGAAAATTTGGTTCGATATTTTAAATTTCAATTCAATTGTCTTTTTTTTTTTTAACTTTAAAAAACTCAGTTTTATCCGTTCGACATTGTTTATTTTTTATTTATATAACCAAAATAACCGACTGACCGAACTATATAATTATTATTATTATTATTATTATTGTTATTATTATATTTTTATGTAAAAATATTATTATTTTCAGCCAAAAAAGTATATAAATATTAAATAATAAATGAATATATTAAATATAGTTTGGTTAATTACTAATTGGACCCATGACCAAAATTATAGTATAATAAAATTATTAAAATTACAAATATGTCCCTAGGAGTTATCTATTTTTCAACAAAATCCACCCAAATCAACACCACCTCCCGCCACCCTCTCCAAACACCCCGGTCAAATTTTCACTGCACCACTGTCGGCATCGCAATCGGCGTCACCCTGGGGCCTGAGCTGGTTTACCCGCAGCCGCGTCGGAGCTGATGGCGCCCGCTCTTCGAATCCATCGTCATCTCCTTGTCGAAGTCGATATTATCGACCAAGAGACCATAGCCGTTGAGCTAAACCACCACCGCCTCGACCAAATGAAGATATCAAGTGTACGCCGCTGCGGTCATGGTGTCTGTGTTGATGTGACTGCTGACGGCGGTGGCTGGGCCGATTCTGGCCGGGGGCATACTAACGGGGTGGACCTCCGGTGATGGCAGAGAAAGGTAGAGACGACGTCGGTACGGCCAGAGCGCTCTGGAGATGGTAGGATCTATGCCGACACGGTGGTCGCCGGCTATGGCAGTCAGCGGTGGGCAGGGGTAGGCGGAGGAAGGCAGGGTGTCAATGACGACTGTAATTCAATGTGTGTTTTTGTATGTGTTGAGTGTGTGCGCGTGTGTGTATGTGTGTGTGTTGAGTTGAGTGTGTGAGTGTGTGTGAGAGATATTAGGGTTCGTGGTTGGGGTGGGTCTCACTAGATGGGATGAAAAATATTGCAATGACTAATATACCCTTCATGAGTGATCAAATACACATATTTGACCAAGATATGTTCTAATATTAACCATAATGCCATTAGATGTTTGTCTGCTATTAATTAAAATATGACTTGATCATGACCATTGATTTGATGAAACCAATGGTTTAGATCTATTCTTATTTCTTTCACTATGACTCATTCTCATTCGAGCGCTATTATATATATATATATATATATATATATATATATATATATATATATATATATATATATATATATATATATATATATATATATATATATATATATATATATATATATATATATATATATATATATATATATATATATATATATATATATATATATATATATATATATATATATATATATATATATATATATATATATATATATATATATATATATATATATATATATATATATATATATATATATATATATATATATATATATATATATATATATNACGTTCGAATACAACCCAAGGGTCCAACCGAACTAAAGACTCACAAACAAAGAAAAATGAGAGGACACGCTTACAAGCGGCCTAGAATCGACTCAACCCAAACTATAAACAAGGAACAAGCCACATGCCACTGCACAAAGGCCTAGCCTGCAACCTACTCCTAAACAAACTCAAACAACTCAACAAACTCAAACAACTCAACAACAACTAAGAACACCAAAGCTGAAAAAACACTACAAAGCTAACAAACCAAAGAAGAGCACAAAGAAAAACAGAAAAAAACCAGCAACAGCCCAACATCACCACACAGATTTGAACTCCACCCAGTCTTTACAAGCCCTTTTAATCAGCACTTGAACTGGGACTCTGGTTTGCTCAAAAATCCAGAGATTCCGAGCCTTCCATAGCCACCAGAGCAGGTAAGTAGTCAACTGTATTCGGTCTTCTGCCACAGGTGTTTTGTCTATGGAGCAGAGGTGCCACCACCAAGATCTGAAGCTGCAGCCTGTTGTACCTTCCCATTCCAGAGGCCCTAGGCTCCAAAGCTGTTGAGCTACTGAACAGTGAAAAAGTATATGCTCGATTGTTTCTGGAACCTCCCCACAGCTTTGGCAAATAACATCAATGGATAGACCTTTTTTGAGTAGATTAGTTCTGACAGGGAGAGAACCAGTAATACACTTCCATAAGAAGTGCTTTACTGTTCCTTTGATCCTGAGCTCCCAACCCCTCAACCTAGCTTTCTTTATGATGTTTGGATTCTGACTTGTACTAGGTATGTCCAGTGACAGAGATTTTTGTTTGATCAAATGAGAGTAAGTGGAGGCAACAGTGAAAATTCCCTTCTTGTCCAGGCACCAGTAGGTTCTATCAGATTTTGTGGGGTGTAGAGATTTGATATCAAAGATAGCTTGACTATCTTCTTCATTAAAAAGTTGTCTCACTAACCAGGAGTTCCACTCATAGCCATTATCATTCATCAATTCTTTCACCCATGTGATGTGTCCAATAGCAAGGTCTAGTAGTTTAGGCTTAGAGAGGGGTAGAGATGGCACCCAGCTGATATCTGAGATCCTTGTTGCAGCTCCATTTCTTATCTCTATCCTAAGCCCTTGAGCCAGCACTGGTAAGCATTCCAACCAGGTGTGCCAAAGCCAGGACCCATTCTGAGATTTCTTAGCCTCAAAGATAGAGCAGTGGGGAAAGTATCTAGCTTTTAACACCCTGCTAACCAACAGATTAGGTTGAGATACAAGCCTCCACAGCTGGTTGCAGATAAGAGCTTGGTTGAAGATTTATATATCTTTGAACCCTATTCCTCCTTCCTCCTTAGGCAGCGATAAGAATTTCCAAGCTTTCCAGTGTATTCCTTTCTCATGAGAGTCCCCTTTGCCCCACCAGAAGTTTGCACTTAGACTTGCAATAGCTTTGCACACTGAGACTGGGAGTTTAAAGCAGGACATAGTAAAAACAGGCAAAGCATTGATGACAGCTTTAAGAAGTACCTCTTTCCCAGCTCTTGAAATCATTTTATTCTTCCAGCTCCAGAGCTTTGATTGAACTGATTCTAGGATGTAAGAGAACACCTCAGTCTTTGACCTTCCAATCCCAAGAGGAAGCCCCAAGTATCTAGTTGAAGTATGAATCTGAATACCCTGCAAAGCAGCACATACTTGGTTCTGAATGAGTGTTGGTGTATTTTTACTGAAGAAGGCTGATGACTTTAGCAGGTTGACTCTTTGGCCTGTGAATTTTCTATATTTCTCCAATAAGCTTATGAGTTGATTAGCCTGCCCAATATCAGCCTTGCAGAAAAATAGAGCATCATCTGCAAACAACAGATGAGAAATGGAAGGCCCTTCTCTTGAAAGTCTGAGTCCAGATAGGTGTCCACTTTGCAGTGAGTCAGTAATGAGTGCTGAGAGAAGCTCTGTCACAATGATAAACAGATATGGGGATAGAGGATCCCCCTGTATAATTCCCCTAGAAGGGTATATGATACCACTCAGTGCCCCATTAATACAGACAGATAGAGAAGAAGTTGTTACACAGACCATGAGTAATTTCACAAAAGCAGGAGAAAAGCCCATCTGAGTCATAATTCTATCAATACAAACCCACTCAACCCTGTCAAAAGCCTTCATTAAATCTAGCTTAAGAGCCACAAAGCAATTCTTTCCTGTTCTATGTCTGTTCAGATAATGGAAAACTTCCTGAGCCAATATCACATTATCTAGCATCTGTCTATTTTGAATGAATGCTGATTGACTCACACTTATACAGGAATCAAGGCAATTTTTCAGTCTCTTAGCCAAAAGTTTAGAAACAACTTTATACACCACACTGCAAAGGGATATAGGTCTGTACTGATTCAAAGAATTAGGAGCAATGCATTTAGGAACTAAGGTAACCAAAGTATGGTTCCAGTATCTAAGGATCATACCAGAATCAAAGAAGCTTTTCACAGCAGCCACAAAGTCAACATGGATAATAGTCCAAAATTTTTGATAGAAGTATGCTGTCATCCCATCTTCCCCTGGAGATTTGTCTGGATTGAGATTGAAAAGAGTTGTCTTTATTTTATCTTCCTCCACAGGATGCAGCAGCAAATCATTCATCTCAGAGGTGATTGTTCTAGGAATCAAAGGCAGCAGACCTTCACCTCCGCATGAGCCTTCAGTTTTAAAAAGAGCAGAGTAGTAGCTTGTGATATGTTGCTCAATTTCCTCCTTTGTGGTGCAGGTCTCATTACCAGCTGTGATTAATCTCGAGATGGCATTTTGCCTTCTTCTCTGCATCATGTAAGCATGAAAGAATCTGGAATTAGAGTCCCCCTCCCTTAGCCATTTGGTTCTAGTCTTTTGGGCCCAGAACTTTTCTTCATAAGCATGAGCTTTATTGAGTTCTGCTCTTACTGTTTCCAAAGTTTCCCATTGATCATCACCTCCTACTGTTCTCAGCTCTTCCAACTGCTCTGTCAATTTATTGATCATGTTCTGATTCTCTGATTTGAATTTGGAGCTCCAGATTAGCAATCCTATCCTAGTCTGCTTAATCTTCTCCTTGAGAATATAGAATGGAGTTCCAGATTGAGGTAAGTCCCATGCTTTCTGAATAACTTATGAGATTCCCTCCTTAGCTGCCCATCTTCTATCAAATATGAACCTTCTTTTTTGCTGTGGTGGATGGTGATCTGTGTTAAGAATCAGCATGGAATGGTCAGAAGCACTCCTCACCAAATTCAGGACTTTGGCTCTCGAATGAGTACTCAACCAGTCATAGGAGGCAAAAGCTCTATCCAGCTTCTCTTGAACAAAACCTTCCCCAACTCTGTTGTTTCCCCATGTGTACTGAAAACCTTCCATCAATATTTCATCCATCTCCATATTTCATCAATACATAGTTAACTTACAATTTATAATTTCTTGTATTTTTTTAATTATCAGTATCATAAA